CGAGGCAGTTTTTTTTTACCGCAGTAGGTTGCCATTTCTTTCTGCGTTAGACCCGTTATCATCCAAGGCTACAGAACCCGATCTGTCCTGCTATTTTACCCATAGCTAGGGGTAAAAGAAGAGGATTCATAACTTTCCCAAGTGTATTAGCAAGTAAGTGAATGTAATGGATTTGACTGGAATTCGAACTCGGTTCTCCGATTCTTCAATCCGAGCCATTATCCATGAGGATCGCTCTGTATAGTTGCCGTTTAAACCACGGGTGGGCTCTGTGAGTATCAAACAAACACTTGTAGACTGGCATACTCGGATATGAATAGCTGCGCCAGGTACCATGAGGCGGTGTAATAGTTAACAAGCTTGTCTCGCTAGAACAATTACGAATGAGTAGTGAGTTCGATCCTCACTGGGTGCTCCCTACTTTCAGCCTTGTACCACACCTAAGCTACGCTTAGAAAATCACTTTGGTCACCTCGACGTGGTGTAATGTTTAGCAAGCTTGTCTCGCTAGAACAATTACGACTGAGTAGTGAGTTTGATCCTCACTGGGTACCCCATACTTTCGGCCTTGTGCCACATCCAAGTTACGCTTGGAAAATCACTATAAGTAGCTGCGCCAATTATATTATTATGACAACACAGTCGGAATAATGTAAACACACCAGAAACTAATGATAAAAGCATACTGCTGAACCTCTAAATAAAGATTTTAATTTATGGCACGGTAGAGTAATGGGTTGTGGCTCGGATTGAGCCGAGTTTGAATTCTATTCTAATTAATGATAAGCTTTAGCAAAATATGAATCCTCTTCTTCTCCTCCCAGCTATGGCAAATAGAAGGACAGACTTGAGTGGCAACCGATTTAAGAAAAGGAAAAGCTTTGAATTCAAAACCGGCCTGGAGATGGTTGGGTTCCGTCAGGCTCCTTTTCCCAAGAAACACCACTTCTGCTGCAGCTGCAGTACACACATGGTGCCCCCACTACGGCCATACAAATCATTATATATATATATATATATATATATATATATATATATATATATATATATATATATATATATATATATTGAGTTTAAAGTAGCACAAAACATGGTGAATTTTACAAAAAAATTTAAAATTCAATTTGAAATATTTTTAAAACTTTTTGGAATTGAGCAAATCAATTTTATTTCTTCAAAATGCCAAGTTCCGCGGAGTTTGTGACTTGAAGAACGCAATTTTCAGTCCAAATTGGACTTTTTGGCCCAAATCGATATTTTGACCGGAATTGGACAAAGTCTGAATCATAATTTTCTTCACTTTCGCTGGTTCCCAGACTTCATGAGTTCAAGCGCCTTACGAGGCTGGCATCCCGCTCTCACCCTTTCACTGTCGAAACTGATATATGTAGCCGTCTCTTTTACACCAATAGCTTCATATATCGTACCTCTCGCCTGTGGAACTCCCTTCCCTATTCCTGTTTCCCTTCGAGCTATAATCCCCAACTATTCAAATGTAATGTCAATCGACATCTCCAGATGCCTTGATCTATCCACTATCCTTCTCCTCATCCATTCCTCAATCACTCTTATCTGATCTTGCTCCAAATTTTCTGTAACCCTTTGCGTCCTAGTGGCTTCCCGCCTTGCATGGGGTGAAATGCTTAAAAATGCTAAAGTAAGGTTTTAAAGTTCCATTGAGTGAATTACGGGAATTCTTTCTTCAAAATGCCATGAAATAGTCCAGAGTCAAAGGAAGCAAATCATAGAAGATTAAGAGAGACAAATAAGGAGAGAAGATGCTGCTGGAAGGTTCAAGAGTTACAGAGGATGACGAGAAGAGAAACTAACATCATAATATTATATATATAATATTATATATTATATATAATAATTTTATCATTGCTGTATTCTAATCTGAACCAGAGGTCCCTTTAGTTTTGGTCTGGAGGTCCAATTATCCCTCCACAGGAGTTAGCTTAAAAGTCTGCAGGGAGTGTGGCTTTTAAGCTAGTTTAAAATAAAAATAATAATAAATAAGCAAATTCAAATTTTAAAAGAGATGGGATACCAGCTACTGTCTTTAAGAAATGTGCGCCCGAACTAGCGCCCACCCTCTCTAAACTATATAACTACTGCCTCAAGGGATCTTGTTTTCTTGACTACTGGAAGTCCTCTTTGATTGTTCCTGTCTTCAAGAACTCTGGCAGCCCCTCTGACCCTTCTAATTACCATCCTATCAGTCTCCTACCCATCTTCGGCAAAGTCTTCGAAGCCCTAATCAATACCGAAGTGGTTAATCACTATTTACTATTCTCTTCTCTCTTATCTTTGTTCTCCTGCACTTGTTCTGGGCTGTTATTAATAGTGATTCAATTTCTCTTTTGAGATACCATGGTTTTTCTTATAAATTTCATTCATTTACATGCTCACATGATGTGACTGGTGGTCAATGTCAACTTCTATCTTCTAAATAAGCAAACAGCAAATTCTGTGTGTCTGCCCGTATGTAGGACAACCCACTAACTCTGACCACACTGGCTCTATATAAACATATTATACCTTTTTGGAATCAAGATGATCCTAGGATTGAAAATCTGCCGTTCATATGGTGCTTGAACATCCACTATTGGAATTTGTGTCTGGATGAGGAAACAGTTAAAAATTCAAATTTTAAAATAACTACACAAAAAAAAAAAATAGTGATTTTAAAAGTTTTTAATTTGAGTTTAAAGTAACAAAACATTGTGAATTTAATTATATTTTTGTTTTAAATTCAGTTTAAAATATCTCCAAAACTTTGTGAATTAAGATGGTTGATTGGTTGGTTGAGTTTTATGGCATATCAACCACTCTATTGTGAATTAAGAAAATCAATTTTATTTCTTCAAAAGTGCAAGAAATCAGAATTAAAATGTGAGGTTTCATGACATAAGGCTTTGAAATTCCAGAGACTTTGAGATTTGAAGAATTCAACTTGATCGAAGTTCCACAGAGTTTCTGATTTGAAGAACTCAGTTTTTGGTCTAAATTAGAGTTCAAGTAAAGTTTTGAAGTTCCATGGAGTGAATTGAAGAATTCAAAGTTATTTCTTCAAAATGCCATGAAATAGTCCAAAGTGAAAGGAAACAATTCATAGATTAAGAGCATTGGAAACATCAGAAAGTCGAGCAAGGAGAGAAGATGCTGCTGGAAGGATCAAGAGCTAGAAAGGATGACAAGAAGAGAAACTAACACGGCAAACCATAGAGAAGCAAGATCTTTGGAGACACCTACTGAAAGATATGCCAGACAGGTTAGTGATAACCTCAGTCATGCTGAAAAGAGTGCAGATTCTTGTTGGAGCCTGTCCAAGTTAGCTTTTCAATACAACTGTGACAGGGATCATTCAAATCGTCCGAGGATATTTATTAGATCAATGGTTATTCCCTGTAAGAATTGTAATGCTCTCAGATTCAAGGATGACCCAGACGGGATGTGCTCTAACAAAGGAAAAATACAGCTGGAAGATCTACCAGTTCTTCCTGAGCCATTGCTATCACTTCTGGATGGTAACTCAGCTAAATCGAAACACTTCATCCAGAACATCAGAATTTATATTAACTGTTTTGTAATGACCACATTTAGAGCCAAAGATGCTACCTCGCTAGGACGGAAAACAAAACTGCAGGAGTTAAATTAAAAATCCGCACGGAATGCGACTTTTAAGCCAGTTCTTGATAAAATAAAGGTGTATAATTGTTATGGGACCTCACCCATAATAACATACGTAATAAATACTGCGCCTCAAGAGGAAGCAGTCTGAAGTCGGACGACCGGCTGATCGGTTAAACTCTCTGCATTCGGGCGGGGAGGAACCCGAACGTGGCTACTTTCGGGGAGGTAAACCGACCCTAAACCCGTTTATACGGGTTCAAAGGGCATATTTTTGGCCGATCCCACGGGCCCGCAGATCCACGTTAAACCGGCCTTGTGCCGCATGATGCCCTCGTAGGGGGTTGACTAAATACTGTTCAGTCTAAAGTCTGGTGTGAGGTCCGTCAGAAGTCCGTCAGGAGTCTGTCAGAGCGAGTCAGTCGAATCAAGAGTCGAGTCAGAGGAAGTCCGAAACAGAGTCGCGTTCAGACAATTACTAAAAGACATTGGAATAGTGATACTGGTCGAGACTACATTGTTCTCTCTACTAAACCTGATTGTTTGTACTAACACTTTCTACTTCTCTGTATATATTCCTGTTTGTAATATATCTGTGTTATTCCATATCCGTGTTCGAGTTCTCTATTGGTTCTACCTTGGACTATCCCGTAGTACAAGGAACCGGACCATAACATTATTGTTTGTCGTTTGCCCCCAAATGTGGAACATTAGTGCAGTTTCCGTTTTGGAAAGTTTAAATAATATAGAAGCAAACATTTGTAGAGTGACTAATACCTTTTCCCCTGCAACATCTATTTGGGGGATGGGTAATAATTAAATGTTGAATAGGCTATATGAATACATGAAAAATCTGGTATTGATGAAAGAGCTATACGTTATGTATTTTTGACGAATATGAGTCATACTGTCTCGAATATGATGATTTATATGACCGGAAAAATATTTAATTCTCGTATATAATACGCACACCTAAACTTTAGGCTTTAAAATTAGGATAAAAGTACGTATTGTACACGAATAATTGGAGTATTTATTATCTCTTTTGATCACATATTACTCTTTGTATTTTGCCATTTTTTCTTTCTTTTCGTCTCCTTTTATCACAGGTTGTCTCACTTAAACATCACCTTAAAGTACACAGCCCAGAAGAAAAGATCCCCAAAATAAAAAATATAATCCCCAAATGCAGCAAAATCCTACGTGGACAAGGATAGTTTTCCATTATCAGTTGAGAGAATGAAAGGCCGCCATTGTCAGTGAAACAAAAACTCAGAGATCCAATGAGTTATGTCCCCTTGGCTAATTCGACATGCACTCCTTCCCCTTTTCAGCTGACCGCTAACAGTTTAGAGTTAATTAGTACGTCAGAGAGAGCGAGAGCGAGAGCGAGAGAGAGAGGGAGAGAGAGAGAGGCGTAAGGAATGTCCAGAATGAGAGACAAAAATGAATTTAAAAAAAGAAATGAGTTGAACAATTAATTTGAGTCTGGGTTGTTTGGAATGAGGATGACGTGGATTCGTTATCTAAATGCTGAAAGGAGGTTATAAAACCGGAAATGCCATGAACGCTGTAGGGAACAAAAGGAAATAAAGAAGTGGGGCTTTGTTGGGACTGAGGGGTTTCTTTATTTCTCGGGGAAAAATAGTAAGAATCTAGATGTACACTTAAACAGGAGACGGGAGACAAATACTAAGTAAGATAGATAGATAAAGGAACAGGCTGAGATAGATAGATAGATAGATAGATAGATAGATAGATAGATAGATAGATAGATGGGGAGAGAGAGGTATACCAACAAACAAGATAGATGGATACATAGATACATAATAACAGACGAGATAGATAGATAGATAGATAGATAGATAGATAGATAGATCTGAACACACTGACAGGTAAATAGACAAACAGGAACAGACTGAAATAGATATGGACAGACAGATATAAACAGACTGAGGTAGATAGATAGATAGATAGATAGATAGATAGATAGATATGAACATACTGAGATAGATACTACAACACAATAGAATTAAGTTTTATCCTGGTTACTTCAAGGCATTTAGTCAAGTAATGGGTGTTAACTTGCTCTTGCCCTCTCCCTCACTAACATGCGACACTTATGACTGAGCTACTTTACAATGGAGTAAACTTTAATTCAAGCCTTTCTCAAGGCTATTAAGTCAACCAGTATACAAACTGCCTCAGCCACAATATCATTTTCCATGGTGTTAACATTTATGCTAACTCTATAGCTTCTTTTCTCAGTGTGTGCGCGTTTGTCGGTGTGTGTGTGTGTGTGTGTGTGTGTGTGTGTGTGTGTGTGTGTGTGTGTGTGTGTGTGTGTGTGTGTGTGTGCGCGCGCCCGTACGCTGTGTGTGTGTGTGTGTGTAAGTGTGTGCGCGCGCCCGTACGCTCTGTGTGTGTGTGTGTGTGTGTGTGTGTGTGTGTGTAAGTGTGTGTGTGCGCGCGCCCCTCTGTGTGTGTGTGTGGGTGTGGGGGTGTGTGTGTGGTGTGTGTGTGTGTACGCTCTGTGTGTGTGTGTGTGTGTGGGGTGTGTGCGCGCGCCCGTACGCTCTGTGTGTGTGTGTGTGTAAGTGTGTTCGCGCGCCGTACGCTCTGTGTGTGCGCGCGCCCTGTACTCTGTGTGTGTGTGGGGGTGAAGTGTGTTCGCGCGCCCGTACGCTCTGTGTGTGTGTGTGTGTGTGTGTGTGTGTGTGTACGCTCTGTGTGTGCGCGCGCCCGTACGCTGTGTGTGTGTGTGTGTGTAAGTGTGTGCGCGCGCCCGTACGCTCTGTGTGTGTGTGTGTGTGTGTGTGTGTGTGTGTGTGTGTGTGTGTGTGTGTGTGTGTGTGTGTGTGTGTGTGTGTGTGTGATTTATATTTTATATGTTCAAACCTTTCCTTTGATTTCAAATGAATTTTCACCTGCCACTCAGCTATCTGGTCTTCGGTAAGGCTTCCGTTTATTTTTCCATTATTCCTTATTATTCTTTCTTTTGTTTTTTTTTTCCATTATTTTCTCTCTCTTTTTTCTCTCTTTAGCTTTATCTCTCTTATCTCCCCATCTCTCTCACTTACTCTCCCCCCTCTCTCTCTTCGTTACGTTTCTCTCACTTTTCCTCTCTCTCTCTCTCTCCCCTCCCTCTCTCTCTCCCCCCCTCTCTCTCTGTTCTATTCTTACTGCCTCTATCAGAAAATTCGAATGTATATCAAGTGTACGCCTTTCAGGCGATCTGGCGCCATCTGTCGACGAGTTAGCCAATTGTGACAAATAAGGAAACATAACTCCCTTTTTTTTTTATTCACTGCTTTCCAAACTGACCGTTTTACTATTAGCCCAATTAATCACTGGAGACCCAAAGCCAGAATTTAATCGGAATTTATTTTCAAACAATAATCTTATTATTCCACTTGCTTCTGTTTCTGGCACAAAGCCACAAATATGGAGCATTTAGTGGTAACACTGGAAACTTCCATGTCTGACAAGAGTATTAAATATCAAGGAGAAGCGCTCTAGGCTAATGGCGGAGGCTCAAGGAAGGAAATATAAATCTCATTCGGTAATAATGGAGTAGGAGATGATAAACTACGTCCGCGTCCTGGGTAAGACGATAAACTACGTCCGCGTCCTGGGTAAGACGATAAACTACGTCCGCGTCCTGGGTATGACGATGAACTACATACAATAGCAAGGCTTCAGCTAAGGAGGTTTTAAGTAACGTGGAACCACCTCTTAATTGCTGGTTCCCAGGGTGATAGCACCTTTTAGTGCCGTCCTGGGTATGACAATAAACTACATCCGCGTCCTGGGTATGACGATAAACTGCGTCCGACAGCAAGACTTCTGCTGAGGAGGTTTTGAGAAGTGTGGAACCACCTCTTAATTGCCTGTGTTCCCAGGTCCACACTGACCTGGGGTGGTAGCACCTTTTAGCGCCGTCCTGGGTATGACGATAAACTCCATCCGCGTCCTGGGTTAGACGATAAGCTGCGTCCGAGAGCAAGACTTCTTCTGAGGAGGTTCTGAGGGGCGTGAAACAACCTTTGAATTACAATACATTTTGAAAGGAAATAATGTTACCAGCAATACATTTTTGAGAAAAAATATTGTCAGCAATAAAAATCATGTCATCATTAAATAACCCCTTGAGGGTGATATGCCGTAAAATAAACCAAACCAATATATACTGAGATAGATAGATAGATAGATAGATAGATATGAACAGACCGAGATAGATAGATAGATAGATAGATAGATAGATAGATATAAACAGACATAGACAGATATAAACAGAGATAGATAGATAGATAGATAGATAGATAGATAGATAGATAGATAGATAGATAGATAGATAGATATGAACAGACTGAGAGATAAACAGATATGAACAGAATGAAATAGATAGGTAGATATAAACAAACGGAAACAGATAGATAGATAGATAGATAGATAGATAGATAGATAGATATTACCAGCAATAAAAACCTTTCGGCATTAAATAAACCATTGAAGCTGATATGCCATAAAACAAAACAAATCAAACCAATATATACTGATAGATAGATAGATAGATAGATAGATAGATAGATAAAAAAAATATTACCAGCAATAAAAATCTTGTCGGCATTCAGTAACCCATTGAGGTTGATATACCGTAAAAAGAAAATAAACCAAACCAAACCGAGACCCCCCTCCACCGCCTCCAAGTACTCCCTTTCGGACTTATTTCAGCGTCTTGTTCATTTTTAAAAAGCAATCCCCCTATCCCTCGTTCGCGTACATACGCAATTGCCACCAACGTAAAATATTTAGACCGATGAAGTCCCAAAAGACGAAATGCTTCACACGAAAACGCTTTTTTTTCACCTTTTATTGTTCATGATATATATATATATATATATATATATATATATATATATATATATATATATATATATCGTTGTCTCAAAACAATCTACAAAATACTCATTGAGTTGCCTCGCTGCGTTCTCTTTAATCTCGTCAGTGGTCTGAAAACTTATCCATTTTTATACTTCTTTTCACCCAATACAAGGCGCAAGAGCCACTCAAGGTAACGGGTTACTAAATGATTGTTTTAAGGATATTATGAGGATATTTAGGATATATAAAAGTTGAACTTAGACCTGAAGAAACCAAGATTATAGTGATCGGAGGAACATTCTCACTCAATGCAACAGTCGGGACCTACATATGAAGATTTGGACTGTTGGGATAATTCAGAATTCACAGGGAACGGAATTTAGACTGATGGTATATGAAGGACAAAACTGGCTGGTGCGTTATTTTGGAAAGAAAGAAAGAAAGAAAGAAAGAAAGAAAGAAAGAAAGAAAATTCAGTATAGTTGGATAGGTTCTAGCTAGACAGTCTCAGAAATCCCAGGATTTTTTTTTAATTCTCATACTATCAATTTCTGGTTACCCTTGTGTTACATACCGTATCTATAAACACTATTGAGTATGTCCCAATCCTCATAAATACGTTGGACACGATTGTAAGTGGGGGTAATATGCTGTCTACGTAGTCCACCATTAGCAGTGGTTTATCTACTTCACGTCGCTGGCGAGTATTGTATTTTGTTGATGTTATAAAGATTACCATTTCATTTCAACCTTTTTTGGGTTATTCCTCATTTAGTAACCCTTTCTAGGTTAGAACACATTGATGCAACCTACTGACATTATTTCATTATTTTCGCGTCTTCTGTTTGCCGAAGCTCATTCAGAACGTGAGTTGCTGAATTCTCGGACACGTTTGGAACATCGGTACCAAAGTTTTATATCAGATTCGCCCACTGAACCTTCTTAATCTTTCAAAGAATGTCCACGCACCATCTTGTTTGACACAGCAGTTTATTTGTATCTTTGTTTGTATCTTTGTTTGTATCTTTGTTTGTATCTTTGTTTGTATCTTTATTTGTATCTTTGTTTGTATCTTTATTTGTATCTTTGTTTGTATCTTTATTTGTATCTTTGTTTGTATCTTTGTTTGTATCTTTATTTGTATCTTTGTATCTTTGTTTGTATCTTTGTTTGTATCTTTGTTTGTATCTTTATTTGTATCTTTATTTGTATCTTTGTTTGTATCTTTGTTTGTATCTTTATTTGTATCTTTATTTGTATCTTTGTTTGTATCTTTGTTTGTATCTTTATTTGTATCTTTATTTGTATCTTTGTTTGTATCTTTGTTTGTATCTTTATTTGTATCTTTGTTTGTATCTTTATTTGTATCTTTGTTTGTATCTTTGTTTGTATCTTTATTTGTATCTTTGTTTGTATCTTTGTTTGTATCTTTATTTGTATCTTTGTTTGTATCTTTGTTTGTATCTTTAAATGCAACACTCACAAAATACGCAATCTGTTTCAATGAGATCTCATTGCCGCTTGATGAATCTCATAAGAAGAGTGCCCATGTATATACTGTAAGATTTGGTTTGGTTTGTTTTTACGGCATATCAACATCCTTATGGGTCATTTAGTGCCGAAATTAAATTTTCTTGGTGGCATTAGTAATTTCTTTTACAAAAACTGTATTGCAGGTAATATTTTTGTATTGCTGGTAATATTTCTTTTCCTTACAAAAATGTATTGCTGGTAATTTTGTTACTATGAAAACGTATTGCTGATAAGTTTTACTATAACTATTTGCCCATGGTTGGGACCCTAACTGGTGCTACCACCCCGTCTAGTAAGGTTTCTTCTGAATGACGGCCAAATTACACTAAGTCTACGCAGCTGGTACACAATATATTCAAAACTAGCTTAAAAGACTCCCTATCGGGCGGCATTTAAGCTATCTCGTGCGGAGGGCTCTTGATTGGGCCTTCATCACAATAAGTAAGGAGTAGATGTGATAGACAACAATAAACTACAGAACTCAAAATTCATCGCTGCATTTAAGTATTACATTCATATTTAAGCTTCCCTTTTTAAAAGTTCACCGATAATTCTTCTATCGCCACTTAATTTAAAGAAAATTTGATGTACGTAGGTCCTTACTTTCCGTACAAACAATTATTTTTATTTCATGGGTGACTTTCGCTGGATTTCGCAATTCATTTCGTTTATTGCCAAATTTATTTTTCAAGTTATAAAAATTGTTATTGTACAAAAACATTCGTCGCAAAAAAAACAAAAACAAAAAAAAAACACGTAGAATTCGCTAAAAATATTGCAGTAATGAACAATTGGAATCCAAAATTTCAGAACTAGGAATCCAGATCCAGACCGGAATGTTTTTAATTTGCTCACGGCGTCGGGCTGATTACAAAATGGTATGATATGTTGGGCTACGGCCTCTAGGAGTAAAGTTGAAAGAGTGTGAAACAGTGACACACTGACATTCGCATTTATTATATAAAAGAAGATGAGCTATTGAAAGTTAGAGAGTTGTATCCCTTTAATTGAAAAAGTGTGACACACTGACATTCGCATTTATTATATAAATGTCTGCCTACGTGCCGGCAGGTAAGTGGTCGATATCACCTTCCCCAGGGAATTAAAACTAATGAAAATTTCTGCGTTATATTAAATTTCTACACCTTTTGATTAAACTAGTCTATCTGTTAAAAAAAAACAAAAAAAAGGGATATTTTTTGTGGGTGGGTGGATGATATTTTTGTAGAATATCATTCATTAGAATTTCCTCGTTTTAGATCGCGGCGCCTACTCATCGATACAGTGTGAATTCGATTCCTAATTTTTTTTCCAGAGTTCTCTGGACTTAACTATTCTGAGTATAAAAACACTTCTTTCATAAAAATATATCTTTTAAATAAAGAACAAACATAAAATTTTTAATTAAAACACATAAAATTACATAAATTAATAAATGTCTATATAAA